GTTTGCGTGCGTGGGGACGTCCCTGCCTGTCCCACCGGGCTCAGCCTGTTCTCGGCTTTGTCTCCCTGCTGCAGTTCCCGCGCTGAGGTCAAGCTGGGCCGCTCGGAGAGCTTGAAAGGCCGGGAGGAGATGAAGAAATCCCGGAAAGCAGAAAACGTGCCTCGGTCCCGTAGCGATGTGGACATGGATGCCGCAGCCGAGGCCACAAGGCTTCATCAGTCGGCATCATCTTCCGCTTCCAGCCTGTCCACAAGGTGGGAGACGCCATCCGAGTCCCGGGCAGGGAGGACCTGGGTTCCCCTGGGCACTTTTGGCTTCCAAGAGGAGCTGGGATGGCCGGGGCTCTGAAAGCTGAACCCCTTGGGCTGAGACGCTGTCTCTTGGGAAGGCTTTTGCTAAGCCTGCGTGTCAAGGCCCAAGCCCCAGGCACGCAGAGCGGGGTGGTCCCGGTCCCGCAGCGCCCAGCTGCCTGCAGAGCCTCCTGGCCGACGTTTGCCAGGGGAAAACAGAGAGAATTGGGCTTTAATCCCCATTTGTGCCCCAAACCCCCCTCGCAGCCAGTAGCACCGGACCCACGTCTGGAGGGGCTTATGGAAACGCTGCTGGGTGCTGCCCCACAGGGTGCAGCGATGGGAGGAGGGGGGCCGGGACATCGAGACACGAGGGTGACTCTCCCATTCCTCCCCAGGTCGCTGGAAAATCCCACCCCCCCGTACACGCCGAAGATGGGACGCAGGTGAGTGGCCCAGCCTCGGTCTCTGCCGTCTCTACCGCGCCGCCCCGAGCCAGCCGGGGTCCCTGGGGCCAGTTTTCCTTCAGAGCAGGAGGGTCACTGTAGGGGTGTGCCGGGGCTGTGCCCCCGCTTTGGGGGTCAGAGGGGCTCCGTCTGTGCCTTCCTAGCTTTTCCCTCCCCGTAAGCGAGCCTTGAGAGAGCACAAGGGGAGGCGATGCCCAGGGCTGCCCCGGGAGGGAGTCCCCTGTTAGTTCTCCATCCTCCTGGGGCGAGGGGGCACCTCTGTTCCCTTGTGTCTCACGCAGGAGCTTAAAGGACCTATATAGATGTCTGCTGGGGGACCTAGTCTTTAGCTCAAGAGTCAGAGGCTTGTACTTCTTGTGCTGAAGGCCCCGGGTTCAAGCCGAAATAGGGCCCAGGTAGATATTGGCTGTACTGGGAGCGCTGCGGGGTGGGCTGGCTGGATGCGGGTGGCTGCAGAGTACTCCCACCGCCGCCTTTCACCCTCCCAGGAGCATCGAGTCGCCCAACCTGGGTTTCGGCGTGGACCCCTTCCTGCCTCATCTCCTGGAGGACGAGCAGGGCCAGCTCTCCGACCTGGAGCCTGAGCTGGATTCCCAGAACTGGCAGCACACGGTCAGCCGAGAGCTGGTGGCCAACCTGCCGCAGAAGGAGATCGACCGGCAAGAGGTGATCAACGGTAAGGAGCACGGGGCACCCCAGGGACGCGAGGGACCCCCCCGGCAGCGCGCCCCAGCACCATGGGGCTCCCCTGGGCATTTCTCCACCCCTGTGCCTTTCGCACAGAGCTCTTTGCCACCGAAGGGTCTCACCTCCGCATCCTCCGAGTCCTCGACCTCCTCTTCTACCAGCGGATGAAGAAGGAGAGCCTGCTGTCCCGGGAAGAGCTGGCGCTCCTCTTCCCCAACCTCCCTGACCTTATAGAAATCCACAGTAAGCCTCTTCGCGCTTGGATCCTGTTCCCCCCTGGAAATAACCCCCTGCAGTGGGAGCAGAGGGTGGCCCACGGCTGCCCGCGGCTTCTGCGTGGTCACCCACCATTTGGACCAGCCCTGCTGACGGCATTGTACCGTCTCGCCGCTCCAGCCTCTCCTTTCCCTCTCCCGGGAGCGATCCAGAGCCTGTTTTTTCCAAGCTCTGCCAATGCCCGTTGTCTGTACCAGCCCTTGGCGTAGCACGCTTTCAGGACACGCTTTCGGTGTCACACTCCTTGACACACTGCGTCCGGGACGGCAGCAATCGAAGCCCATCTGGCTCTCGGCCCCTCCTGCCTTCACCCGTGCCGGAGAGCCGGCAGGGACCCTCTGGGGCCGGCAGCTCGGCGGGTGCTTGCACGGACGAGTGGTGGGTGGCCGCGGCGCCCCGTTGACGTGAGTCCTGTCTGTCTCTCACATCCTCATTCAGATTCTCTCTCCGAATCCATGAAGAAGCTCCGGGAAGAAGGACCAATCATCAAAGAAATTGGGGATCTCATGCTGTCTCGGGTAAGGGGGGACAGGGGGTGGTAGAGCCCCCGGGGGCATCTTGTCCTCCAGCGTGGAGGGGTCGGCATCTTTAAAGGGGAGGTGGAGGTGACCCCACTGTCACGGGAGACCTGCGCTGTCCTCCAGCCGTGGCCGCGCTCGGAGCAGACGAGCTCGGGGAGACTCGGGGTTCAGGGCCAAGCCTGGGGGGTGCCTGAGCCAAGTTCTCCCCTGCCCCCCCCCCCCCCCCCCCCCAGTTCGATGGCCTGGCCAAAGAGGAAATCCAGCAGGTCGCTGCTGACTTCTGCTCTTACCAATCCATCGCCCTAGAGCTGATCAAAACCAAGCAGCGCAAGGAGACCCGTTTCCAGATCTTCATGCAGGTTTGTCCCTCTCCTGGGCCGTTCCTCGCCCCGGTGCTCCCCTGGCTTCCCCTGATCCCACCTCGGGGCTTTTGTCCTCTTCCCTCTGCCCTAGGAAGCGGAAAGCAATCCGCAGTGCCGGCGCCTGCAGCTCAAGGACTTGATCATCTCCGAAATGCAGCGCCTGACCAAGTACCCGCTGCTGCTGGAGAACATCATCAAGCACACCGAGGGTAGGGGCTGGGGGGGGGGGGGGGCGCGGGGGGGTGGTC